AAATTCAGAAATAGTATATCCATACATCTTGTGCTTCTTTACTATAGTGGGATCATTAAGATACAAAATTAGATGTAGCATTCTTTCTAATGATCATGACAAGCAAGCTTATCAGTTAATCAGGAAACAATCGATTTGGAAACAATTCAATCATCTGATTACATGGACAGCATACCAAAATTTCCGAAACATGCCAACTTAAATCTATAACCCTGGATTTTAATGTGACAACATTGCGGGCTACAATATCGGATGGTAAGAAGATTCATAAACTTTTTATGTTTTATTCTTGCATCGATTTGCACCATTGCAATTTTCAGACGTATTGTAGTGACGTCACTAAGACTTGGGGATATAATTAATGTTTAAACAGATTAATATATGATACTCTTGGACTTATAGCTGCCTACAATTTTGTTTTCAAATTGCAAAAACACTACCTAAGAAGTCAACTATAGAAAATGAATAAAGCCAAAAAAGTCAACAAACTTCTTAATGAACTTAACATTTTGAAGGTAAACTATTAAAATATCAATAAAAAAATATACATGGATCACGTTGTCGATATAAAATTTTTATATCAAATAATTAATGGAAATGTACATGATATTATGAAATGAACATGATATTATGAAATGATAAAGTTATATAATAAAGGTTCCTCGTGATGAAGGCAAGGTAACGACGACAATATGGCACAGATCGCCCAACAGATTATCACCTATTTATGCATAATGATATATAATAATAAAGTTTATAAGTGTTACAATATATCTAAACAAAATTTTCATACTTCCGGTCAGGATGGCCTGTAAAACAAATTTAAAACGTTGGATAAATTTTTATTCATATAAATAAAACCACCTTAAAAACGTAAAAATAAGGGCAAAATATATGAAATTTTTGGTGAAATATCATACATTATAGTAATATAAAACATAATGTTAAATTACAACAAAACTCAAAACTATTTGCAAAATTTAACAGTGACACCACTGCAAACATCACAGACGTCTGATTGAAAATTGTAATGTGCAAACTGATATTATCAGTTTCCATAATTTAAGAGTACAAAAGTCTAGAGATCGAATTCCTTAGTAGAAAAAAAGTTCGATTCCCTCAAAATAAAAAGGGACCACTTTTTTCTTCATACTAAAGTAATAGTTGTTTAAGATCGAGAAGAGAACACTTGATGTAGACCAAAAC